TTGGCTTTTTTCCTTTTTGCTTATGTGGTGCTGGGGAATTGAACTCAGGGCCTAATGCATACAAGGCAAGCACTCTACCACTGAGCCACCTTCCCAGCCCAAATCTAAGAGATTCTTATTGCCAGTAGAATTAGAGGGAAGTACTCACATTCAGGATATTCCCCATGCGGGGCAATACCAAAAGACCTATTAAGAAATTGAATATGGGAAATAAAAGAATGAAGAAGTAAAAGCAACTACTGTTTTTGTTTTTTTTTAATCTTAGCAACTAGTAATACCATTTATCAAGTTCAGGAAGGACTGATAGGACATATACTTAAGATACAAAAGTTAACAGATCTATTTAACTTGATTTACTTGTAAGCCATCCAAATGGCCGTGTCAAATAGATAGCTAAATAGGCAGACGTAGAACTCAGAGATTCAGTGGGAATCATCAGAATAGAACAGAGGTCTGCTGACCTTTGGAGGAAGCTCGTTATCCTCCCTGACTTGTATACCAGGACCTAGAGAGGGACTGTACCACAGGCAGGCTGTGAGAAGCAGGGTCAGCATTCTACTGCTTCCCCTCACTTTCAGGCCAGTCTCTCATACCCTTAAAACCTTTGCCCTCGGGGGCTGGGAAGGTGGCTCAGTGGTAGAGTGCTTGCCTTGCATGCATGAGGCCCTGGGTTCGATTCCTCAGCACCACATAAGCAGAAAAAAGCCAGAAGTGGTGCTGTGGCTCAAGTGGTAGAGTGCTAGCCTTGAGCTGAAGAGCTGAGGGACAGCACCCAGGCCCAGAGTTCAAGGCCCATGACTGGCAAAACAAAAAAACAAAAAACCTTTGCCCTCCTCCTGCAAGGTAAACCATCAACCATGACACTGTCCAAAGCTATGTCCCATGTCACGTTCATCACATACCAGGGTTTATAGAGTATCTAAATCCCTGACCACCCTCTCCATCGCCACCAGAATTCTGCCATCACCCTGAGAAAGATGACTGCTAGTAGAGATGGTTCATCTAGCATGGCAGCCCGAGTTGCAGCAACCATCATTTTCTCTCTATATTGAAACTCATTAGATGGCAGGGTAAATGCAATAGAAGCACATTGGTATTTATTCTGAAATAGGAGACTATAAAGAGAGAGCGTGGCCAGTTATACCCAAGAGAACACCATTGGCTCCTGCCTATAATTCTACCTATTCAGGAGACTAAGATTTGAGGATTTTAGTTTGAAGACAGATCTGACAAACAAATCTAAGAGATTCTTACTGCCAATTAAGTGACAAGATGCCAGAAGTCGAGATGTGGCTCAAATAGTAGATAGCCAGCCTTGAAAAAACAAAACAAAAGCAAGAGCAGGATTTGAATTGAAGCCCCAGCACCAGTGCAAAAAAAAAACAAAAAAACAAAAATTACATCAGACCCATGAGAACCAAAGGGGAAGACTGTCTGGTATGGAGAGAGATATCTGAGTATGGGGAATACAGAATGAAGCAAAGTGGCTGCAGGGACATGATCTGACAGGCAGCAGAAAGCCGTGAAAGATTTGAAACAGGACATGGTATGGTTAGATGAGCAATTCAAAAGGGTCTCTTAAGCAATAGAATGGAGAGGAACTAAAAGCAGATGAAAAGGCTGGCAGAGATCAATTCTGGCAGAGATGATTAAGTGTACAATAGGCTGCAGGAATTAGGAGAAAGAGTAAGAGGCAAATACAAACAATATTTACTAGATTGACAGGGCAACTGAAGACAAAGGGAGCTCAAAGTGCAGATTTGATTACCTGGTAGTAGCATCCACTGAGACTGGCCTCCCCAGAGCAGGAGCTGGTAGAAGAAGACAAAGATGAGCCTTTTCCTGGGTGAATTCGCTGTGTTTTGCAGTCCCAACAGATGGACATGTCTCAAGGATGATAGGAAAGATTGGGCAGGCGTCCAGGGGAAGAGGATGCTTGAGATGTGTGAGCCATCAGCACAAAGTGAGCACTAGAAGTGGGAGTAGATGAGGCTATCTGGGGAAAAGAAAGGCTTGTGAGAAAGGAAAAGACCCAGGAAAGTCAGACCTATAACTGATACCAGCAGGAAGACTAGGCAAGCAGACAAACCAAGTGGTCCTGTCCATAGGGCAGAATCTCAGGTCACATGGCCTAAATCTGTACATTTCAGAGTTCCCATACTCCATCTTATTAGAGTTAAGCAAACAAAGGGTCAAGCATATATATGTATATATAGATATATATAGAGAGAGAGATTTCCACTTCCAAAATTTCTTTGTTCATTTTATTAAACTAGCATCCTTTGATCACAAAATGCCCCCCAGCCTCCACTCAAACTCATCAGTGAACTCATATGTACATGTTATATAACATATCCAGCTTTTTCATGTCATGCTTGGCTCATGTATCCAAGTAGGCTGTGGGGGAAAGGGTTGAGTACACATACTGAACTAGCACTTCACCACTGAGCCACAGTCTCAGCCCTTTAAGCAGACTGTGATAAAAGCATCAACTACCATTTACTGAGCTTTTTACTATGTGCAGACTCTAGTTTTTCTTTTTTCTTTGATGCTAGAAATCAAACCCAGGGCCACATACATTCTAAGTAAGCCTTCTGAGCTACACTGCTAGTCCCTGATTTTATACATTATCTGATTTAACTATGATACTAACACATTGAGTAGGCATTATTATTACCAAATTTACCCAAAGGAAAATTGATGCAAGCAGGGTTCTGGTGGCTCATGCTTGTAATCCTATACAGCAGGCTGAAATAGCTACTCAGGAGGCTGAAATCTGAGAATCAGGGTTCAAAGCCAGCCTGGGCAGGAAATCTGTGAGACTCTTATCTCCACTTACCAACCAGAAAGCCGGAAGTGGAGCTATGGTTCAAAGTGGTAGAGCACTAGCCTTGAGTGAAAGAGCTCAGGGACAACATCCAAGCCTTGAGTTCAAGCCCCATGGCTGAAAACGAAAGAAAGAAAAGAACATTGATGTAAAAAAAAAAAGTATATAATGTACAAAAACAACAGAGCCAGGGTTGGGGGGTGTAGTTCAGTGGTATATAGCACATGCTTAGCATATGTAGGTGTGGGTTCAACCTCCAGCACCTAAAGAGGGAAAAAAAAAACAGAGCCAAGGCGCCCAGTCTGACATCAGTGCCAAATTGCCAAATAACAAACTCCTACCTCTTGACATTTCACTTATTCTTTTTTCCAGTCTTTTTCTTTCTGTTCTTTTTCTATTAGCATAAATTGCATAAAGGGATTTTATTGTGATGTTTGCATATATATAATACTTTGATCAAATAACAGACAGTAATATCAAGAATTTTTTCAGAATTTTAGAATTGGAAGAATTTTTAGTTTTTCTTTCTACAGGTGAGGAAGTTAAAACTCAGTAAGACAACTTAAGTGCTACAATTTCTTTGTGTTTATGTCTGTCTTTTACCTGTATGTATCAGTACTAGCATTTGAACTCAGCCTAGACACTGTCCCTGAGCATTTTTGCTCAAAGCTAGTGCCCTTCCACTCGAGCCACAGCTCCACTTCCAGTTTCTTGTTGATAAATTGGAGATAAGAGTCTCATGTACTTTCCTGCCCGCGCTGGCTTTGAACCTCGGTTCTCAGATCATACCTCCTGAGCTAGGATTACAGGTGTAAGACACAGGCACCTGGCTAAGTGCTATAACATCTATTGGGAGGGGGGAGGGGGGATGGGAAGGTGGCTCAGTGGTAGATTGCTTGCCTTGCATACATGAGGCCCTGGGTTCAATTCCTCAGCACCACATAAACAGAAAAAGCCAGAAGTGGTGCTGTGGCTTAAGTGGTAGAGTGCTAGCCTTGAGCTGAAGAGCTGAGGGACAGCACCCAGGCCCAGAGTTCAGGCCCCACGATTGGACCCAAAAAAACAAAAAACAAAAAAACAACAACAAAAAAACATCTATTGGGATTTGATTTACACTGAGAATGGCCAAAATCTTACTACCAAATACACAAGCCAGGGGATAGCAATGAGCTTAATGTGTTTTTAATCATGTAAGAGACAAATGCTCTCTGTATCCACCTGCTCCAGCCCCACACTTCCCAGGCCAGCATGGAATTAAGAGCTCAAGATCTAGAGCCAGAAACACAAAAGTCTTGAACTATGTCCATTATAAGTGCCTTTCAGCCTCTCTCTAAGCTACTGATTCATCAATAAAATAGCAATACACTTCTTCAAGCACAGGTCATAGTTGCATAGAAAGTTAACAGGAAACCAAAGAGTAGGTGTGGGATTTGGAGTCAGCCTTGGTTTTGAATTCCAGCCTTGCCTCTTGTTTTTTCTGAACCTCAGCTACCTCATCTTTAAAATATGGATATACTACCTGAGGTAGAAGAAATAATTGTATTGTCAAAGCTCATAGGCTTCACAAACTTTATAGATCATAATAATGGCAATTTGCCTTGTGAAGGTTAAAATGTGTTTGTGTCTTTAAGTATTACTATTCCACAATACTGTAAAATATGTGAAAGTAATGTAATTACCTATCTCAATTAAAAATAAATAAAATGGAGATATACTACTTGCCTTAAAAGTTTACTTATGGCCGGGCGCTGGTGGCTCACACCTGTAATCCTAGCTACTCAGGAGGCTGAGCTCTGAGGATCATGGTTCAAAGCCAGCCGGGGCAGGAGAGACCGTGAGACTCCTATCTCCAATAAACCACCAGAAAACCAGAAGTGGTGCTGTAGCTCAAGTGGTAGAGCGCTCGCCTTGAGCTGAAGAGCTGAGGGACAGCGCCCAGGCCTACAGTTCAAGCCCCACGACCGACAGAAAAAAAAAAGTTTACTTATGAAGCTCAGATGTAATCTTGTTTGTAAAAACCACTGTAACTACATATTAGTCTTGATGTGTTCTTTCTTAGTGTTACAAACTCACTGAGCAACATTCCCAAACTACTAAAGGCTTTTCATTTCAAAGTGTTTCTATCCATGAAAATGTACTCAGAAAAAAATGATAGAAAGCATATTTTTTCCAGGTATCCACATTTTTAAAGGACAAGGTTCAGAATTCTAATGGGCGCTTTGTGTTGCCAGTGTCCGGGCCTGTTCCCTGGGGAACTCAAGTTCCTGGACTCATCAGGTAAGTTTTGCACAGTGCTGAGGGGACAGGAAAACAGAACTGGGGCCATACATAGAACATAGCACCATGGAGCCACTTAGGATGTTTGCTTAGCCTTTAATCAGGAAAGCTCAGCTTTTGAGGAATTTTGCAAAGGAATTTGAAGCAAGATACCCAGTTCCCCTGGATTCATTTCTTCATCTGTTAAAATGATTTTGTGAGGATAAATAAGACAAACTAGTGCTCCAAAACTCTTGCACACCCTGGGCATCACACCTGTAATCCTAGTTACTCATGAAGCTGTGATCTGAGTATTGCACTTTAAAGCCAGCCCAGGCAGGGAAATGTGTGAGACTCTCATCTCCAGTTAACTACCAGAAAGCCAGAAGTGGAGCTGTGGTTTAAGTGGTAGAATGCTTGAGCAAAATGGCTAAGGAACAATACCTAGGCCAATACTGGCAATAAATACAAACACACACACATACACACACACACACAGAGCACATGACATATAGATGTTCAATGACTATTTCTGTATTGTTATTTTCACAGTTAGCATCTTTTTCTTTTCTTTTTTTTTTTTTAATTTTTTTTTTTGGGTCCGGTCATGGGGCCTGAACTCTAGGCCTGGGCGCTGTCCCTCAGCTCTTAAACTCAAGGCGAGTGCTCTACCACTTGAGCCACAGCACCACTTCCGGCTTTTTGCTTATGTGGTGCTAAGGAATCGAACCCAGGGCCTCAGGCATGCAAGGCAAGCGCTCTACCACTGAGCCACCTTCCCAGCTCAGCATCTTTTTCTTGAAAGAGTACATGCACACCTTTTTGTTCTGTCATATACAAAGAATAAGGACACTTAGAGAACATGCCATCATGTTTATACTATAGGATGTTCTTACTTTATACTATAGGATGTTCAACAACAAAGGTGAAGAAGTCAAGAAGACAGAATTCAAGCATGGTGGAAACTATGTCCCTGCATCCAAAGAAGGTTCTTTTGAACTTCATGGAGATCGAGTCTTGAAACTTGGAACTAACATGTAAGCAAATTCTCCCTGACTGAATGAACTCAAATGTAAGGGCAATCGCTTCATTTAAAAATAAGACTTCTGGAGCCGGGCGCCAGTGGCTCACGCCTATAATCCTAGCTACTGAGGAAGCTGAAATCTGAGGATCATGGTTCAAAGCCAGCCCGGGCAGAAAAGTCTATGAGACTCTTATCTCCAATAAACCACTAGAAAAACAGAAGTGGCGCTGTGGCTCAAGCAGTAGAGCTCTTGCCTTGAGCTGAAGAGCACAGGGACAGCACCCAAGCCCAGAGTTCAAGCCCCACGACCAAAAAAAAAAAAAAAAGATTTCTGGGCTGGGAAGGTGGCTCAGTGGTAGAGTGCTTGCCTCACATGCATGAAGCCCTAGGTTCAATTCCTCAGCACCACCTAAAAAAGCTGGAAGTGGCGCTGTGACTCAAGTGGTAGAGCTCTCGCCTTGAGCTGAAGAGCTGAGAAACAGCATCCAGGCCCAGAGTTCAAGCCCACAACCAACCAAAAAATACAAAATAAAAAATAAGACTTTTAAGCCAGGCACCAGTGGCTCACACCTATAATCCTAGCTGAGATCTAAGGATCTCGGTTAAAAGCCAGCCCAAGCAGGAAAGTCCATGAGACTCTTATCTCCAATAAATCACCAGAAAACCAGAAGTGGCACTGTGGCTCAAGTGGTAGAGCACTAGCCTTGAGCTGAAGAGCCCAGGGACAGTGCCCAGGCCCAGAGTTCAAGCCCCACGACTGGAAGTCCTGGCTGACAATTAGAAGTTAGCTCTGTGAGATAAAATATATGCACAATCCTGACATTTCCAAAGGGCACCCAAGAACTCCAAACATAGGAGGCTGAAAACATACTTATTTTAAGTGCCCATGGAGGAGAAGTTGCCAAAGCCTCTGTCTCAATGGAAACTTGCAGTCTTTGTGTCCTTTCAGTGATATATGTTCCACTTTCCAAGGGGGCACATTTCTACACAGTTCCCCAGGGATTTGCCCTTGGAAAGAAATAAATGAATGGCCAACAGTTGGTTCTATTTTGTACTTATAGTACCTTTATAGATGCCATTAATTTTCTCAAAATAAACTTATGAACTATATTTACAAGTTAGAAGTCAATGGAAAGGGGCTAGATAATGTTGCCATTTTCTGTCATCACTAGGTACAGCATGAATCGGCCTGTGGAAACGCATATGTCTGGAGCATCAAAGAACTTAAACTCACAGACACAAGTGAGCTTCTGCTGCCCTCTTTTACCCTCCCTGCCTCTCTCTAGGTACAAACATCTGCATGGGGAGGAAGATGGGAACTCTGTAGATCTCAAAGCTATTCAACATTGCCCTCATTGTTTGCAATCTTCTCCATTCTCCATTTGGCCTTACAAGTACACAGGTTTTTAATTGTAGCTTTTCATGGAGCCTTCTAGTTATCTGACTAATTAGGTAATTTTAGGCCTAGTTCACCGCCATTAATTAAATAGGAACCACACACTAGGACATGGAAAATAGCATTGCAATGTCATTAGGTCCATAATTGTTTAGTCCAGCACTTAAGTCTGTCTTGATAATTATAATGTGCATTGGTAATACTTCCCTATACAGCAGAATGTGGTAACTACATTCAAAATGGAATTTTATTCATCTTTATATATTTTTAGTAACTAGCTACAAGCAAGCCATAAGACGAATCATGGGATATCCAGTTATTAAGCAATCATTTCTCAAACTGCTTTAGTAATCTTGGACAAAACAACACAAAGCTGGCATGGATGTGGTCTATGCAACTTATAGCACCCAAGGACAGACAAGAGTTGGAAAGAAGTCATGGTAGTGAGGTGGAAGACCAGCTCACTAGGTATTCTGTGCCGGAACAATGTCTGTTCTGTCCAATGAGGTAGGGTCAGGGATCAAGAAGGACCAAAAAGCCAACATTGGTAGCTCATGCCTGTAATCCTAGCTACTCAGGAGGATTGCAGTTCAAAGCCAGCTGGGGCAGGAAAGTCTGTGAGACTTTTATTTCCAATTAATCACCAGAAAACCAGAAGTGCCAGTGTAACTCAAGAGGTAGAGCTCTCACCTTGAGCTGAAGAGCTCAGGGCAAGCACCCAGACCCAGAGTTCAAGCCTCACGTTCAAGGGGGCGGGGCGGGGGGGAAGAAGGACCAAAAACCTTCTCAGAGGAGGTAACATGGAAGCAGGACTCTAGAGGGGAAATGGGCATGTAAACAAGGTGACAGGATGAGTGAAGTCATGGGGCAAAAGAGCACTGTATCTAGGGGAAGCAGGAGGCAGCATGTCTCCATGTAGCTGGACCATAGTGTAACTGAGACAAGTAACATTGGAGCCCAATTAAGGAAAGTCTCTAAACAACTTGAGTTTGTTCTTTATACAACGTGCAGAAGAGTTTACTTCAGCAAAGAAGAAGTAAAAGAATATCTGCAAGTGGGAAGGACAGGCAAAGGCTTGAAGTATAGGACAGTGAGAGTGGTCTGAAGGGTGCATTCCTGAATGTTGCCACAAGAGGGCAGTGTGGGAGCTCCTCCAAAAGGGTGCCCTTGGTGCCAGAGCCACTTGGACAGTTTCCAATGCTGAGAAAACTGGATTGAGGCAGCAGAGTTCTTCACTCCTCAGAGGAGGAAGGTACTCCTAGGAGAAGTGTGGGTCCCTAGAGCTTTCCACTCATCTTGAAAGTATGAGAGTCTCTGGTTTGCTTCCTTCTAGAGCCCCTCTGTTGCTGACATGGGTTATTTTACTTTTGGTTAAGCCTGCTTTCTACACTTTGGTTAGTCACAAAAATAATTTAAACAGTTATTGTTTGAATTATTTTATGATACTTCTCTGGGTCTCCAGGGCCTAAGCAGGAAATATGATCACCTTCATGTGGCTACAAATCATGCAATTGTTTCTACAGGAAAGCATTGCTCCAAACCCTCTTGCTAAAGAAGAGTTAAACTTCTTGGCCAGGCTATTAGGAGGGATGGAAATTAAGAAACCCAGTGGCCCTGAACCAGGATTCCGGTTGAATCTCTTTACTACTGATGAAGAAGAGGAGTATGTTTTAAGCCTGTTCTTTAAAAACATGTTTTTTTAGAAAACCTAAGTGTATGAGCTGGTGGCTAATGTCTATATCTCTCAATACTCAGGAGTCTGAGATCTGAGGATCATGGTTCAAAGCTAGCCTAGACAGTAAAGTTCACAAGACTTTTATCTCCAATTAACTAGCAAAAAGCTGGAAGTAGAGCTGTGGCTCAAGTAGTAGAGCACTAGAGCTTTGAGCACAAAAGTTCAGAGACAGTGCCTAGGCCCTGAGTTCAAGCCCCATGTCCTGCACACACACATGCACACACACACACACACACCAAACTAATGTATATACATACATATGTAAAGAGTCAGGCGCCAGTGGCTCACGCCTGTAATCCTAACTACTTAGAAGGCTGAGATATGAGTATCATAGTTCAAAGCCAGCCCAGGAAGGAAAGTCCATGAGACTCTCATCTCCAATAAATCATTTAGAAAACCAGAAGTGGCACTGTGGCTCAAGTGGTAGAGCCATTCACCTTGAGCTGAAGAGCTGAGGGACAGCACCCAGGCCCAGAGTTCAATCCCCACACCGACCAAAAAAAAAAAAAGATTACAAATGAAATACCAACAGATTCATTGACCTTAAGAATGCTACAGGAGGGCTGGGAAGGTGGCTCAGTGGTAGAGCGCTTGCCTTGCATGCTCGAGGCCCTGGGTTCGATTCCTCAGCACCACATAAGCAAAAAGAAAAAAGCCAGAAGTGGCGCTATGGTTCAAGTGGTAGAGCGCTAGCCTTGAGCTGAAGAGCTGAGGGACAGCCCAGGCCCAGAGTTCAGGCCCCACGACCAGACCCCCCCAAAAAACAAAACAAAAACAAGAATGCTACAGGATTAGCCAGGCACCAGTGGCTCATGCCTGTAATCCTAGCTACTCAGGAGGCTGAGATCTGAGGATCGCAGTACAAAGCCAGCTGGGGCAGGAAAGTCTGTGAGACTCTTATCTCCAATAAACCACTAGAAAACCGGAAGTGGCGCTGTGGCTCAAGCGGTAGAGCGCTAGCCTTGAGCTGAAGAACGCAGGGACAGCACCCAAGCCCAGAGTTCAAGCCCCACAACCGACCAAAAAAAAAAAAAAAAGAATGGTACAGGACTAAATGGATTGAACCTCTTGGAGTTGTTCAAAAAGAGTTCTAATGTTCTACTTACCACAACACAGCCTGAACAAAAAAGTATTAGAATCCAAAATGGAGCCGGGCGCTGGTGGCTCACGCCTGTAATCCTAGCTACTCAGGAGGCTGAGATCTGAGGATCGCGGTTCAAAGCCAGCCCGGGCAGGAGAGACCGTGAGACTCCTATCTCCAATAAAAACCACCAGAAAACCGGAAGTGGCGCTGTAGCTCAAGTGGTAGAGCGCTCGCCTTGAGCTGAAGAGCTGAGGGACAGCGCCCAGGCCCAGAGTTCAAGCCCCATGACCGACCAAAAAAAAAAAAAAAGAATCCAAAATGGCCATGCAAACTTATCAGTGGCAGAGCTCTTAAGCAAAACCTTGGGTCTGATCCCCAGCACCACTAAATAAGTGAATAAATAAATAGCCTGGTACTGGTGGCTTAAGCCTGTAATCCTAGCTCTTCAGGAGGCTGAGATCTGAGGATCATGGTTCTAAGCCAGCCCAGATTGGAAAGCCTGTGAAGGTCTTACATCCAATTAACCACCTGAAAATCAGAAGTGGAGCTGTATCTTAAAGTAGTAGAGTGCTAGCCTTGAACAAAAAATATCATGGGGCTGGGAAGGTGGCTCAGTGGTAGAGTGTTTGCCTTGCATGCATAAGGCCCTGGGTTCGATTCCTCAGCACCACATAAGCAGAAAAAGCCGGCAGTGGTGCTGTGGCTCATGTGGTAGGGTGCTAGCATTGAGCTGAAGAGCCGAGGGACAGGGCTGGGAAGGTGGCTCAGTGGTAGAGCGCTTGCCTTGCATGCCTGAGGCCCTGGGTTCGATTCCTCAGCACCACATAAGCAAAAAGAAAAAAGCCGGAAGTGGCGCTGTGGCTCAAGTGGTAGAGCGCTAGCCTTGAGCTGAAGAGCTGAGGGACAGTGCCCAGGCCCAGAGTTCAGGCCCCACCTCCGACAAAAAAAAAAAAAAAAAAAAAAAATATATATATATATATATATATATATATATCTCATGAACAGAGCCCATGCCCTGAATTCAAGCTCTATGACCAACAACAACAACAAGAACAGAAAATAAAAAGCAGAGGAAAATTGGACTTGATGTCTTTGGGCTTAGATAGACTTACCCAAAATCACTGATCCCCCTATCAACCAAATATTTAAGGTGGAGGCTGCCTTCATTGAAGTAATTTCTTTCATTTTCTTGTTTGTGGCAAGAACTATGTTCAATGCTGGGAAACAAAGAAGTAGTCTAAGACCTAAAGCCTGTCTTCAGGATACATGAAGTATTCAGGGGAGATGGGGTGGAAAGGTGAAAGGAAAAGGCAGAAGATAGGATAGGAAATATAGTTGCCAAGTTATCAAAAGGTAGTTTGCCGTGCTAGCCAGGAGAAAACCCTAACCTGGACCCATTTCTCATCCAGACATGCAGCACTATGTAGACCGAAAGAGTTAACCTATGAAGTCATCAACATACAAGTTACACAGGTATGTACAGGGGATCTCAAAGGGCTCAATCCTATTTCCTTCATCTTATAGTAACCTTGGCCTGCAAAGACCTCTTCCTTTTCTAATAGATTATAACTACAGTCCATTATCTGACAAACAGGTAAGCAACTGAAATGCATGATAGGGCAAAAATTAAATACCAGCCAGGCACCAGTAGCTTATGCTTTTAATCCTAACTATTCAAGAGGCTAAGACTGAGGCTCTTGTTTCAAGGCCAGCCTGGGCAGAAAAGTCTGAGAGTCTCTTATCTCTAGTTTACAAGCAAAAAAAAAATCTAAACTGGAGATAGGTGGTAGAGCACCATCTGTAAGCAAGAAAGCTAAGAGAGCATCAGTAACAGCACACACACACACACACACACACAAATTAAATACCTATTGCCCCAAAAGGCAACCTACTGACATCATCTCCTCTCTTGCTTCTCTAAAAGGACAAACAACAGAAGGAAGAACTGGCACGGATTATGGGAGAGTTTGAGATCCCAGAGCAGCCAAAGCTGAGCACCAACAAGGGGGATGACTTGCTCGCTATGATGGACGAGTTATAGTTGCACTGACCAGACACAGCCTCCCACCTCCCCAGAAAAGCTGCTTGAAGAGAACCTCTGTGGAAGGAAGGCCAAGAATCTCCCACTGATTGAGGCTGGTACCTCTCAGTCCCTGATTATGTCATAACAAACTGCAAGGCTCACTCAGAGAATACCCTCTCCTAAAGACACACATGTATATGGATTTTCAGCAAAATATATCCTGGCCGTTAAACTAGACCTTTCCTGTTTATTTCTAATTATAGGTAAGTATAAAACATCCTTGGCCGGAGGCTGAACCTGAGTTAGTAAGAGGCTACTGCCATGATCATTTCCACATTAACCACATCAGCTCTCCCATAAGGACAATACATCTCGCAGATGATTGTAAGCCATAACAGAACATCAAATGTAGCTAGGCATTATGGCACACATTATAATCCCAGCACTTGGGAGGCTGGGGGAGAAGGACTGTGATTTTGAGGCCAGTCCAGACTATACAGTGAGACCCTATTTTTAAAAAAATCAAATGATGTAGACAGGCTCTACTGGCTCATACCTGTTATCCTAACTACTCAAAAGGATGAGATCTGAGGATCTCAGTTTAAAGCCACCCCAGCAGAAAATTCCATGAGACTTTTTATCTCTAACCAGCAAAAAGCCAGAAGTAGAGCTGTGGTTCAAGTGATAAAGCACCAACCTTGGGTGAAAAAGCCAAGTGAGAACAGGAAGCCCTGAGTTCAAGACCCAGTACTGGTCCACACACACACCACACACAGAGACCACAATCTGAAATGTGTTATGCTTTGTAGGTGAGTTTGAAATCAAGGGGAATAGTAATTGCCTCTATCAGGGTCCAGTTTGGTGGCACTCTCCCCCAGGCACACTATGAACTGCTGCTGCTTCTCAGTCAGTCATGGGGCTTGAACTGGCCTTAGAGCTGTCCCTCAGCTCTTCAGTTCAAAGCTAGCGCTCTATCACTTGAGATACAGCACCACTTCCAGTTTTCTAGTGGTTTATTGGAGATAAAAAGTTTCACCGACTTTCCTACCTGGGCTGGCTTTGAACCACGATCCTCAGATCTCAGGTGTGAGCCACCAGTGCCCAGCTTTTTTTTTTTTTTTTTTTTTTTTTTTTAATCAGTCATGGGGCTTGAACTGGGGGGCCTGGTCACCATCCCTGAGCTCTTCTGCTTAAGGTTAATACTTTACTACTTTGAGTCATAGGGCCACTTCCAGTATTCTGGTGTTTAATTGGAGATAAAAGAATCTCACAGCCAAAAGTCAATGGCTCACACCTGTAATCCTAGCTACTATGGAGGCTGAGAGCTGAGGACTGCAATTCAAAGCCAGTCCGGGCAGGAAAGTCATTGAGAATCTTATCTCCAATTAACCACCAGAAAAAACTTGAAGTGGTGCTGTGGCTCAAGTAATATAGCACTTGCCGTGAGCTGAAGAGCTCAGGGACAGAGCCCAGGCCCAGAGTTCAAGCCCCATAACCAACACCACCAACAAAAAAGTCTCACGGACTTTCTTGCCCAGGCTGGCTTTGAACTGCCATCCTCAGATCTCAGCCTCTTGAATAGCTAGGATTATAGGCCTGAACCACTGGTACCTGGCTCTTCTCAGAAATATTCTTTATTCTTCCTGACAGAATAAAGCCAGGACATGACAAAATACCTTCTGCTAGTAGGACAGATAGAGGCCCGTACTTCTCTGAACCCCTCTCCATCCATCTGTGCATAAACATTTATCCCAATTGAAGATACACACCAAGAGGATATTTGCTTTCCAGCATCATACAATCTCCTTGCCCCCATAGTCTGCCTCTGCCACTTAGTGAGCTTGCCTTCTAAAGACACCAGTCTGATATGCTAGGACATCTGTCTGCCTAGCTTCCCCTTCAGTCACCAAGCTTGGCCTTACTTTGGTAATAGGAGGTACACATGGTATGCCACTTGCCTCCAGGGTACCCGTTCAGTTCCTTAGAGAACCATGTAAAATATGGCCCAGACAATCTCCAGTGTCTCAGGAAGGAGCAGCAGCCCACAACCAAAGAACCCTCGCAGGCCAAGTAAACAGAAGGCTCAGGACCGGCCACCATCCCAGAGGCCAGGGTCCACTCAGTTCTTTGGAAAAATTATCTAGAAGATCAAAGAGAGAAGCTGCTCCTAAGCTGACCCAGGATATAGAGTTTGGTAAGTCACCAGCTAAACTAAAATGCCCTCCCAGCCAATAAAGTTATACTCACTAGACACTGGTGACTCACACTTATAATCCTAGCTACTAAAGAGGCTGAGATCCGAGGATCTCGGTTTGAAGCCAGCCCAGGGCAGGAAAAGTATGAAACTCTTTATTTCCAATTAATCATCAGAAAAGCTCAGAGCAGAGCTGTGGTTCAAGTGACAAGAGTGCTAGCCTTGATCAAAAGAGGCTCAGGGACAGTGCCCAGGCTTTGAGTTAAAGCCCCAGGACCGTACCAAATATTAAAGGTACACTGTCTTATCTATGAAAACCCTCCCCTCCACCCCCAAAACAGTCCTCAAGGGAGAAGTTTGCTTTCTGTTTAGTCTCAGAAGCAATCTGGCCACCAGCTGGGAGCCCAACTGGGTAACAGGTGAAGGGAAAGTTTCTCTCCTGTTCTGAGTCTTGCTCTCTCCACATTGTCACAAATGCAAACTTCACTGAGGCTCAGAGTAGGTCCTAAGGCCTTGGAGATAGGCCATACATTGCCCAGAAGCAGCAGTCTCCTCCCTCCACCTAGCCCAGAATAATGTTGCCCTCTTGGTAAATAAACAAGATACAGATCTCTGGTGAGGCAGCTCTGTGATGACACAATCTAAGAGTTTCATGTATCTAGACTTGCACAAATATTAAGAAAAACAAGTTTATTTGCATGGTGGTGCAAAGCATTCAGAAAAGGCACTAGAGCTGGGAGGAGGCAGAAAAAAAAAAAAGATGAGGACTGGATATGTGGATCGGTGGTAGAGTACCTGCCAACCATGCACAGAAAGGAAGGAAGGAAGGGAGGGAGAGAAAGAAGAGAGAAAGAGAAAAGATAATTCTGCCTAAAATGTGGGCTAAGTGCTGACAGTTTACATATATTCATTTATAATGAGGCCTAAGGTACAAAGATCTCATACAATGCTTCAGGGGAAGGTGAAGACACTATGCTCTGGTACCATTCCTGACCAAAATCCCCCACCATGTTTGTTTGGGGTACAACCCTCCTCTAGCTCCTCCACAACCTCTTCCCAACTAAGTTGCACACAGTTCTCACACACTCTTATTCTTAAAGGACCTAGAGGGCATGTGAGGCAACTATGCAAAATCCAAGGGGATTCCCATGGCTCCCAGGAAAAAGCAGTCATAAAAAAATGAGTGAAAGGGCTGGGACTGTGGCTCAGTGGTAGAGTGGTTGCCTAGCATGCATGAAGCCCTAGGTTTGATTTCTCAGCACCACATAAGCAGAAAAAACCAGAAGTGGCCCTGTGGCTCAAGTGGTAGAGCACTAGCCTTGAGCTGAAGAGCTGCTCAAGCCCCACAACTCACCAAAAAAAAAAAAAAAAAGTGAGAGGAAGAAAAAGGTAAACTATCTTTCAATTCTAAGGGGAAAGCTATTCTAAGTGGTCCACAGAAGTAATCACTTTCAAAGGTATAACTCAGGTTAGGTGATGTGTCCACACCTGTAATCTCAGCACTCAACAAGTCTCCGCATTGGGCACTGGTGGTTCATGCCAGTAATCCTAGTCATTCAGGAGTCTGAGATTTGACTATCGCAGTTCAAAGACAACCAGGGCAAGGAAGTCCATCTCTTCTCCAATTAACTACAAGAAAACTAGAAGTGGATCTGTGGCTCAAAGTGGTAAAGCACTATACTTGAGCAAAAAGGGCTCAAGGACAGTGCTTAGGCTATGAGTTCAAGCCCCATGGCCAACCAAAAAAAAAAAAAGAGTGGAGACAGGAGAATTGTTGGTTTAAGGACATCCTGGGCTACATGGTGAGATTTTTTTTTTAAATGGGGATAAAACTCACTTTTTTCTTAGATGTAAATCCCAGAAGGAAAGAAACAGACTTCTGCATCACAATCAGATACCCAGCTGCATGCTGATCGTATGTCACAAGTCTACTTTGTAGACAGCTGCATTGTCACTCTGGTTGACACACTGTCCAAACCATCAGAGATCATAAAAAACAGAAATGCAAAGTTTAGTATATATGTGATTATCATAACAGCTAACCTTAAAGATTTCAATGAAGATCTGAACACTAACACAATGTTTTTCTAGCTCTTATCCTTTGATGTGTGTGTGTGTGTGTGTGTGTGTGTGTGCGCGCGCGCGCGCACACACACACACACACACACACACGGGAGCGCTCCACTTCTAGCTTTTTTTTTTTTTTTTTTGCTGGCCTTGGGGCTTGAACTCAGGGCCTAGGTGTTGTCTCTGACCAGCTTTCTGGAGGTTAGTTAGATAGTCTCATGGACTTTCCTGCTTGAACCAGCTTCAAACTGCATTCCTCAGATCTCATCCTCTAAATAGGGTTACAAAGTGGGAACCACTGGTTCCTGGCTGTCTTATTCCCTTTAAGTTGTGCCCTGAATAACTTCTCAATAGCTAAATCCCTAAGCAGTGACAGTAGAGGGAGTTACAGGTAGGGATTAGGCTGACTCTGCCTGCATAGCTTGAGATTCTATGTGACCATATTTCTTGATGGTAATTCATCCTTTTTCAAGTGAGAATGTCAAGCTGCATTCCCAGGGCCAATAGAAATTATTGTGAATTATTGCCTTGATATTCCACACCACTGCCACCACCATGTTCACATATATTCTGAGTCATTTTCCCTCTGCTGACACAAATAACATCAATTTCTCTGTTAGTTCCCAGAGCAATATGAAACCCAACTGCACCACTAGTGCAGACTTGGGGGGAGAGAGGTGTGAACAGGGTCCTCACATGGCCCGCCAACTCAGATCACTGTATCCTTCCCTCTGTGCAGGAGGCTCCAGCCAGCATGCTTTCAGGGAAAGTATGGTAGCAGTGAAGGACACTTGGCTCAGGTTCGTTAGATACCCTAAAGACCACTCAGCTGAGGTATTATCTGACCAAGCAGATAATACTTGTAGGTGTGTCCCCTTTCCCTCTCCTTTCCATGAGACTCTTATTTCCAATTAACTGCTACAAAAGCCAGAAGTGGAGCTATGGCTCAAGTGGTAGAGCACAAGCCTTGA